GTTCAATACGCACAATAAGAATCTCAGCCTGTTCAATACGCACAATATGAATTTTAGCCAATACAAGCAACTTTAGACTGGGGGCTGCACCAAGCATTTGCGCAGCTCTACCTAGCTTGCCTGGCAAATGGGTTGTGCTTCAAGCGAGACATGTAACTAGCCATTCACAAGTTGCCAGCACCGCCATCTCCAGAGAACCACACATGCCCACTAGGCCTCCGCTTCAAAGCGAAGCCAAATGTACTAATGATAGATATTCTGCAACTGTGTTCCACAAAGAAAAGAACCTTGCACTTCCCCTGCAACCCTGCAGAAAGAAAAGAACCTCCTCTGCATGTGTTTTTGTGTGTGAGCGGCACCTATTTGCAACATGTTTCATCGATATACAGGGCAAGCCAAAGCATGCTTGCCAGTGCATACCCCCTCTCGCCAAAACTGAACAAGATTCTTCTGCACCAATAGCACTGTACTGGAAGTGATCGGGGGTACTAGTACATTCCTTGGATCTGATCCTTTTTAGTATCAGTTCCTGCGATTCGATACTGCTGCTTCCTTCCAACTGCTGTTCGTGTGTATACAACTTCCCCATGTTTAAATCTGATTAATGTTTACTTCTGAGGTCCAATTCGACTCATTTTTTAGTTATGCCAACTGCACCCTTTTTCCTTGAAAGTAAATAAAAGTAGTATGTTTCCGGGTTTCATGCTAGTTTTAAGGTTGCAATGGTGTAGCAAGGGAAGCGGAGACTCGTCATCACTTGAGAAGCCGGAACGCAAGCGAGATAATACTTTGCTCATTCTACCACCAGCTGTAAGAGAATGACCACTAATGCAGGCGATGCTCAATGCTGTACTCTCTAATGCTCCAGTGCTAGTGTTAATGAGACTTGCGTGGAAATGGTCGAACACTAAACGAGAACAATCTGTGAATGAGACTTCAGCGGACCTCCTTCAGAGCTCGCTTTCGTGATAGTGAGTGATGCCAGGTGATGTCAGGCGGCCAATACTCGCTTCGTTCAGTCGTTCGTTCGCTGGCTCGCTCTTTTGTTGTATGATGTTGTATGCAAAAATAGCACTGCTTACGTTGTACAAGGCCGCACTTTTTGGATTAAATTATCTGCATATGTCTGTGCCTCGGTCTGTGCAAGCATAATGTGCTGAGCGAGTGACCAGGCAAGCTCGATGTAGCCGGTCTTTTCTCTCCTGTTGTAGGACCTGCATCACAACTTACAACCATAAAAACTTTCTCCTGTGTGGTGGCTTTTGGGGAGGCTCTGACTTGCTTTCGCCAAAGATCCGCTCACAATACGGACCGTCTGGCCTCAATAGCCCAAGCTGCCCATCAAGGGCGAAAGCACAATTGGCCAATGAAAACGTTCAAGGTTACCAATCCAAGCTCTGCTCACTGGTGCCCACCGTTCGCTCTCTAGTTGCTGGCCATACGGGTGCAACACTTGTCCATTTGCCTGTACATGAACCAAGCAAAGTCACATCAGCCAAATCCCTTGGGCGGTTGCAAGTTCCAATGAACAATAATAAGCTAAGCCTTTCTGCCGCTTTCTCCTTTGACTTTGGCCAAGTTTCCTGGTGAGACTTGGCCACCGTAGCAAAGCACATTCGATCTGGTTTACATGCTCTAGGCTTCACCGGACTCTACCCCAAGCTACACACTCAGCGCCCAGCGAATTTCAGCTGGAGATTGAAGCCTACCAAAAAGAAAACAGGTTTGATCGGATTCCAGAGAATCCTAGAATGACACATGAAAACAATGTATTGCTCTGTCGGTGTGCAAGCCTGATTGCCAGATAATCTACTGCCTGGTCACTCTCTCGATTGTCCTGACCATGCCAAAAACCCCATTCACGTTTGTTCACGTCCTATGTCTTCTTTGATTGCCACTATGTCCCATCATGCCACATCCTTCGAACGCTTGGCTATACTGTGCACTTATGTGCAGTTAGACTTGAGGCCGAGGGTAGGTGACGAAAGCTAGCAGGGGTGCATCCGGACTGGTGGGACATCAAGCGGATTGAGGCAAATGCTCATGAGGTAAAACGTTGTGAACATGTAAGACACACAAACAGCAATGACACAGCCAACCTTTAGAATTGAAGTCCCCGATAATTAAGGAAGCGTGGCTGGACTTTGCCACACTATTCGATGCATCCGATGTGTTTACGAACCTGTGAGCTTGTTGAATCTGTTGCACCGTATCCCAAAACCTCCACGGAGGAGTTGAACCAAAGTGGATGCCATAAGAGGTGCCCAAGAGGTGTCCCAGAGGCAAAACAAAGCTGCTTGCATGATTTACTTGGTTTCTTCTATCAATGTCGATGTCATGAACCTGTGAGCTTGTTGAATCTGTTGCACCATATCCCGGAGGAGTTAAACCAAAGTGGATGCCATAAGAGGTGCCCGAGAGGCGTCCCAGGGGGGAGTTGAACCCACGGGGGGGGGGGGGCCCCCCCCATATGAAGTTTTCACGTGCGCGATCTCGAGGATTCCAGCCCCTCACTTGCTAAAGCAAGGACAACTCCAGCTAGCTGGTGCTAGCTTTCGTGACAACCCTCGTCCCGGTACATTGAACAACCTCATAAGGAAAATGAAGTTTAACAAGAGAGAGAGAGAGATACGAATAGACGCACAAGTCACAAGACAGACTAAACAGACAAACAGACAGGTAGACAAACAACCAAGCCAAACTAAACCAAACCAACCCCAAAATCAAAACAAACCAAGCCGAACTAGAAAGCAGGCAGGCAGGCAGGCAGGCAAGAATGCTTGGCCTCATCATGCTTGATCACTGAAATCGCGAGAGGCAAGCTTTGGAGCCGGCCACTTCGCAAAACAAGCTACTGCTACCCTTTGCACAGAGAGAGCAAACAAAGAGGACCTTGCAAACAATGTGGTTGTGCGCACCCCACCAGACCAATTCTTCACAGGCGTTCAAATTCCAAATTGAGCGTTTCTGAAAACCTTGATGAAATCCGATGTCGTATCATTGGGCTTACGCTTGTGCTTACGCTGCCTTACGCGACTCACATGTTTGCTTACGCGGTACACTTGGAGCAAGAAGGGCTTACGCAAACCTTACGCGACGCCTGTTTTGCACAAAATGCAGCTGACACCACAACGCGAGCTTACGCGCTGCATACTTTGTACAATGGACATTTACTACACCTAATCTTCGGATATGGATGCTGAAGAAGCACTTGAGGATGAGGACGAAGAAGAAGGCTCGAAGGCGGCAGCAGCAGCAGCGGCGGCAGCAGCAGCAGCAGCAGCAGACCAGCAGCAGCAGACCAGCAGACCAGCAGACCAGCAGACCAGCAGCAGCAGCAGCAGACCAGCAGACCAGCAGCAGCAGCAGCAGACCAGCAGACCTGCAGCAGCGGCAGCAGCAGCAGACCTGCAGCAGCAGCAGGAAGTGGAGAAGTGGAAGTGGAAGGGTGATGCGCGCAAACCACATTGTATATAGAGGTCTTCAACCACACGCTGCCGCTGACGCAACGGTTTTGGAGAAGGAGGCATGTGGGCCACTGGTGGAAAAGGACACCGGAGCTTACGCGGAGCTTACGCGCCGGAACTCACAAAAATCACCTAGAGTTTCTCATGTCTGACATGGAGGTTTGACTGTTCAGCTGTGGTGTTTGGACTGTGTGTGTTCAGCAATTCGAGTTTGGATTGTGTATGTATGTGTGGAGTTGGACTGTTCCTTAGTCCTAGCACTTCTGAGAGGGGTTGCTCACGTATTTATACTGTATTTCCTTCAAAGCTTACGCATGGCTTACGCATGGCTTACGCAAACGGTTTCCTTACAAAAAGCTTACGCAACCTTACGCGCGTGCATGTTTTGCTTACGCACAACTTCGATATGACAGCACACTGATTAAACATGAACACGGAGGTTTATCGAATGGCTGGGCGGAACAGCCAAGGCTCAAGCCTTGAGGGCCGTCGAATTCTAAGAACAGCCATGTTGATCTTGCTGAATTCTTGGGCTCTGTTGAAATCAATTCAAATCCCCAGTATTTTCAACTTACAACGCTACGAGGGCCCGGCTATTAGGATCGAAACATATCCAGGCAAGGTTCTTGAAGACATCATCAGCCACCCCACTTCTATCAGCTGACGAAGCCGCCACACAAAAGGATTGGCAAAAGCGTTCGTTCATGATGCTATTGCTTTTAATGAACTCGATTAAGAAAAAAACTTGCAGGGTGTTTCTAATGGCCAAGGAAAATGCTATATAAGTTTCTGAATGCTAGCTTGAAGACAACCTTCACAATCCAAAATATATAAGCAAGGACCGAAGCTCAAACAAGCTGAATAACTCCCGTGTCTTTGGCTCACGACCTCCTACAAATAAACGCATGACTGGAAAAACACAAAACAAACTGAAAGCAGTGTATTGAATGACTCCAACCTTAAGTTTCCATAAAAATCTAGGAACCAGATCATTAGCGCGAGTTTAGTAGCGTTCTTGTAGCTACTAGCGACTCCCTAGCTCCTACTAGCTACCTACCTAGCTAACCTACCTCCTAGCCGCCTACCCCCCCCAAAAAGAAAAACAAATGGCCTGGTAGATTGCACCTTCCTGTGATTGCATTTCATTGTCATCGAGGATGCCTCTGGCCTTCCGACAATCGTCTGTCCACTAGGACAGTGGCAGCAGGATTCTGCAGATTACAGTAAGACCTTGAGGCAAGTGTCTTCAATTATCTACCCACAAGCGATTCGAGATTTCTGTCAACATAGCCAACATAGCTGCCAGCTTATATTAACTTAAACCCTGCTGCATGGTCAATAATAGCTGCTTCATCAACCATGGTTCTGAAACTATGTTTCAGAAACTACCTATGTTTTGGAAACTGTTTGGAAAAGTCGGAACTACAAGTGTCTGCAAGTAATATGCCGAAGTTACATGATGTTTCAATCACAAAGAACGTCACCATGTTGGCCCCAATCCCCCCTTCAAGCCAACAACAGAAAGCCACGTAATGTTGCACTTGTGGTTTCTGACAGGCATGTAGTTTCAGAAGCTTGGTTTCTGAAACACACATAGTTTGTGAAACAATCTAAAACATAGTTATTCTGAAACGCAATTATGGATCGTATAGTATAGTTTCTGAACCGTAGTTTCTGAAATCTGAAACACGCACATAGTTGCTGAAACGTGGTTTTTCTGAACCGCGCATAGTTTCTGAAACGCGTGTAGCTTCTGAATCCTGAAACATAGTTTCTGAACCGCACATAGTTTCTATTAGTTTCTGAAACGGGCGTAGTTTCTGAAATATAGTTTCTGAAGCGCGAATAGTTTCCGAAACATACAGTAGTTTCTGAAACGGGGTTTAATCTTGCTGCATGAAAGCAACAGCGTCGCATTGACATTCGACAGGCATCACTAGCAGATCGAGTGGTTTGCACCTGTAAAGCCCCCACGTCTAGTCCAGGTGATAGTAGCTCCCGATCCAACATGTCAGCTTTCTGTCTGCAATTCACTTGCATCTAGTACCTGCCTGCTGCCCTTGATCCGGCAGGGAGGGCAATGGTGGGATTCCATTGGAGTCACCATTTTGTCGCACCTTGCACTAGGAAGGACAAAAAGGAAAGGGCAAACCAGATCGAGGCTTATCATGGAACTCGGCAGAATGAGATGATGTCATGGCTATACATTCAAGGGAGTAGCAGGTTACTGCTAGTTGTTGAGAGAACTAGTAGCTAGTAGCACAGCATAACTGCATAACTCTTGGAATTGTGACAGAGACATCCAGTGAAGTTGACAGTACCTTGCTGTCGAAGCAAAACAAAATAGAATAAAAGAAAATTAAACAAGATTGATTGTTGATGTAGAGCGTTGAGGCAGGTGGAAACCGCGTGTCCGCTGACGGACGTTTTCCCGCGCAAAAAAGGGCTTCGGTTGAGTTGGTTTCAAACTTGGTACACTTTCGATTTGTGCACCATCTCTCAACAAACTTGGTACACTTCTCGTGCGCACTGAACCTGAAACACTTGGTACACTTCTTGGTTTTGTGCACCAGCACTCCCCCTCCACCGAGTTTGGTGGATTGAGGTGCTTCAAAAACACCACTAGCTCAAGCCCTTTTCAAGGGGTCACGAACAACGTGTACCCCGTCCAGCCATATGGCAGGTAGTAAGGTGGATCTCCTTCCCTCTCTCAGGTCGCAGACCACCATCTTCTTCTGGCCCACACATGCCAAGGCGATAGTCAATCTCCACTGGCTCCAAGTCTCTTCCCATAGACGATCTCCAGTGAAGTCATACTTCTGGTGCCGAGATTTTGGATGCTCTCGGATGCACACCCTCTTCCCCTCACCATTGGTCCTCACCCCCAGCCACGAATCCTTTCTCGTGTTCTGATGCGGAGGGTTCTTCACAATCTGTTTCACGTCACCGGAGAGGAACTCCCTCTGGAAGGATAGCAGCCGGAGGAACTCTTCCATCGCGCTTCTCTCGCTGACCTCCCAAACTCCCAGTTGAAGACCCAACGCTGTGTTCTCTCTGGGTCGGATCACTTCCTCAAACACCTCCTCTCTCTGTGCTCGATCTTCTTCCTGTCCGTGTAGGCGCCCTCGTTCATCAGCACTGAGTCGTTGATCTCCCGGGAACACCAATGAGCGGTGTGAAAAGGGACCCACCTTGTGAGGCATCAGTTGGACATTCAGGCGGCGCAGCCATGGCCAGGAGCTGTTGGCGGTAATCCTCGAGCTCTTCAGCTAGGTTCTCTGCCGTGGCGGTTGCTTCTATAGGGCGGTTTGTGCTACCAATGGAGATGACTAGGCCAGCGTTGTATTCGAGATGCGCCTCTGTGAACAGTAGCATCCCCACCTTACTGCTGGCAAGGTCAGGGTCAGCACCATGCCCTACCAAATCAGGCCAACGAAACTGGCTCTCTGCTCGAATGGCTCACATTTTGGGATGACCTGCCGCGATCAACCCCAACAATTCGTGTTCCTTCACCATCCATCACTACCCAGGTCCCTCCATGATCAGGTCGAGGTCCTCGTTGTGCCATGATCCGATCCCATGCCGCCGGCTTCATCCCAGCGCCGCTCTCTTCTTTCCTTCTCCCTCTCATAATCGTAGGGTTCACGCTGACAAAGATCAGGGTCGTGTCCCCGAGGTTGGCCAGAAAGTTCACTTCCGGCTGGATGTAGTCCCCCTTCGCCGGCTCTGGTACTTGCCCTTGGAGGAGTCTGGGCGCCGACCTCTTCTGTAGGGATCTTATTTCGGGGTCTTCCTTCTGGGGCTTGAAGTGTCCTGATCGAAATCCTCTCAACCGGATTCGTGCCCAGCTCCTGTCGTTGATACAGCGGGTCATCGGGTTCAGCACATGGATACAACTCTTCGTGTGCTGAAAATACCCAAATCCTCTCGTCCCCCTCGCTGTTTCAGTGAGCTCGTCCACACATTGAACATCCAGCTCGAGGATCCTCTCAATGACCAGTCGGAGTGGTTCCTCAGGAGGACCTTCACCTCGCCCCTAAAGTCACGGTCAACGACCCCGGCTGTCTCGATACTCATGATCGCCAGCAATGATCTCGGGGCAATGCGTCCATAGCTGCCTCGAGGGAGCTCCAGTGCGATCCCTGTCTTCACGAGGACGCTGTCGCCCGGCGGTACCATGGTCTCGATGGTCGAGTACAGGTCCAGTCCCGCTGCCTGTTCAGAACCCCTGGTCGGGATGATGGCCTTTGGAGACAGGAGCTTCACCTTCAACTCCAGGGCTCCGTATTCCTCCTTCATCGATGGCTTCCACTCTTCTAGGTTTAATCGAACCTCTGCCAGTCCAACCATCCTGGTCTGCAAGAAGGCGGGGTGTTCCTCCATCTCCTTCTCGATCTCCACGACCTTCTTCGCTTCTTCACACTGGCCAGCCTTCACGGCTTCCTCAGTGACCGTTTCAACCTCGACGGTGAGGGCCTTTAAGAAGCTCTCATTAACGATCTCCCCGGTGTCCTCCTCGAGCAGACTGAGCTCCTGCGACAACAGTCGCGCACCTCGATGTTGGAGCTCCCCCCAGTCAACGTCCTCGTACTCGGTCTCGATCTGAAGACATTTAATGCTCCATGCCCGGTCTCTTCCTTGGTTCATTCTGAGTGAGAACTGCCCTGAGCACCTCTGCGCGTCCACGAAGGTCCCCTGCCCGCCATCATCAGGCTCCACCCGGCTAGCCGCACCAGTCTCCTCCGTGGGTCCCAGTGATGCCGGCCTCATCGCTCTCAGAAGTGCCTCACTCTGCGTCCGCTCCGACCAGAATGGGTTCACCTGCACAACCGGTTGGTTCCCACCCTGGCCCTTTCCATCTTTTCCTGCCCTCCTCGTCGGTCCATACGACACCGGAGGCCCTGAGGCTGACGCTGGTGCCCTCAGCGCTACTGCATCCTTCGCATCTTCTAGGGCCAGCTGCTCAGCTTCTTCTTCCGCGCTCTGCATGCCCCCACCGCTGCCACTCCCCTCGCGACTACTCGCCGAACCACCGCGACCCGCCAGCATGGGGACCAACGAGGGTGTCGCTCACACAGCGATCACCGGTGGACTTCCGGAAAGCCAAACAGGGGCTTTGGGCTCATAACCCGCGTGTCCGCTGACGGACCTTTTCCTGCGCAAAAAAGGGCTTCGGTTGAGTTGGTTTCAAACTTAGTACACTTTCGATTTGTGCACCACCTCTCAACAAACTTGGTACACTTCTCGTGTGCACTGAACCTGAAACACTTGGTACACTTCTTGGTTTTGTGCACCTGCAGAAACAACCCAATGCTTTGCAGGCCTCGCCACAGCTGAGGCGACTGCGGTGTTAGTGTTCCGCATGTCCCGTCCTTCTGCTTTGGGTGTTTTTGTTCGCTGGGTGGCTTTTGTTCCGCTTTTGGCCTCCTCTGCGCACTGTGCCTTTGCAGCGATGACGGGGAACTACTGCTTCGATTAGCAGCAAAACCCTGCCAGTCTGTAATCCGAACGGGTGAGCTTCTTCAATCCTCCAAATATGCCGCGTTGCTCACAAAGAACACGGTTTCCCTTGTTATTTTTGCTGTAGACAAAACATATTTCTGAATCAACTGATCCCCTAACACTGACGTCAATGAGGAAGCACTCCAAACCATCTTAGGCACAACTGCCCGCGAAATGGTCCAGTTGCGCACCTGCAATGGAGGTAGCATTATCTGTTCTGCCATGTCGCCACTGGTGCCTTCCTGGGGTTGCGCACAAAAGGCACGTTACAGAGTTACACTCACATCAAATATCCTTTTGTTGCTACTATATAGTGTTAGTATCTATGTCATCTTTACGATTGGCACACATGAAAACATAACCGATAGCCTATTGCCTTTTTGCGCGGGCTAAGATGTCTGCTGGCAACTCGGCAGGCACCTTGGGCATCACCATTTGCTGAACGCCTTTGGCCTCAACTGAGACAATGGCAACGTCAGTCGGCACTTTACCAGTTGCTTCGGGTGGCCCCGCGATGCCTGTGACCTCCTAAAGCCAACCTTTGTATAATGAAATTTATGCCAAAAGTGCATTGACACAGCATGCTCACGTTCTAATATAAATATAAAGGAGTTGTGCCTTGTTTGACCTACAATCATGAACACTGAGCAATTGCTTTGATAGTCACAACAAAAACACAGGGAACTTCGAAACTAGAACCAAATGTACGATTGATTCTATCAGTGGCGCTCAGGCAAGCACTCCATGTTGGCTAGGCGGCAAAACTGGCTGTGCCTTTGTCAAAATCAGCGCTGCTTCTTTTCTCAGGAGGATTGTTGCTGCCTGTCGCATTGATCTGCCAGTCCTGCAATCTGCAAGCATTTGATTTAGATGTTGAGCATTGTACACCATACACATTGGGCCGTTGGGCAGTATACTTGCTGTTTCCATGCCTGCATCTGAGTCTGGAACGTCGCCAGCAAATGTGGCCTCGTGAATTCTTCTTGCAAGATCACTCACATTTTGTAAAGATGAACTAGATGTGAAACCACGTCGACGGCCTTACCGAAGGCCCTTTTTATGCCCAAGAGAAAAGGTGCGCAACTTCGCATGGGTTTTGAGGTTATGAGCCCAACGCTTTTTTAAGTCCACCCAGGACCACAACGTGTGTGGCCTGGTTGTTGGCCGCCTTCTGGTCAAGGGAGCTGCAAGACAAGTTCGAGCTCCAGCAAGCGCGGCCGGAAGACCTTCCGATGGTGCCTGAAGGGGACTCAGGTGTGAGCGGAGTGGGGAGTCGGAGGAGATGATCCCGGATGCTCATGATCTGCTGGACTTACTGAGCTTGGATGTGGACCAGGAGAACCTGGGAGAGGAGTCGGTCGAAGATGGCGGCCGTGCAATCAGTGCTGGTGAAGAACAGGATGAAGGCCCACAAGAACTTTGGAGAGATCCTCAAGAGGAGCTCCAGAAAGCCTTGAACATCCAACCAGGCTGGCCTGAGATCACGAGTGACTTGGGCGCACGGGGCTCGGCTGGTCCTCCAATGCCACCGACGAGCTGGATGAGGAGACCTGTGGTTCGGAAGGGGAAGATAAAGCAATGGCATGGCGGTTGAGAGAAAGGAGGCCGCGTGGGGACCGTCAAGTTCCAGGTCAGCAGCCGGAAAAGCATCAGCGGCTTGATCAAGGAATAGGACAACGTGATTCGGCTGAACGACAAGGAGATTATGGAGTACCAGGTCAACAGCTGGGAGAACACCAACGGCTCGATCAGGGTAAAGGTCAGCAAGATCGCCTGGGCCGAGATGATGATCTCCAGCGTGCGATGGAACTTCAGGCGGTTGAAGAGCTTCGGAGACAGAATGAGGAGCTTCGGAATGAGGTGAGGGCCTTGAACGAGAAGATCGCACAAGGTCAGAACCACCGAGGTCAGACTCCTACCCCAAGGACACCAACGACGGCAATGTTCACTCCGATGGAACAACCTCTGCAGGTGAGAAGAACTCCAGGGGGTACACAGGTCCCTCCAGGGACACCACCGCAGACATCGGAAGAACTACGGGGTGAACTACCGGAAGTTCCACCTTGGCCATGGTCGAAGTTTGAGCATGGCTGCTCGGCGGAGGAATGGTCAAGTTGGGAACGCCGACAGCGTGAACGACAAGAACGAGGTCGTGAAGTACATGAGAGGCCCATGGAATGTTGGGCGCAACTGGCAGCCTACATCGTGAAGAGTGTGGGGGCGGGGGGCGCCGACAGGGAGGTCCTGACCGCGGGGTTCATCCCCGATGGCATGAACTATGTGAAGATGAAGGACGCGATGGCTTTGGCTCTGCATCTCGAATGATGGAGGCAGAGCAGGACAGGCGAACTGGGCTTCATGGTGCATGGGTGCCACATGATGGTCCTGGTCGATTTCAAGCGGCTCGCCTACAATGGTTGGAGCGAGAACTGCATGAGTTGAAGAGTAGGGTGAAAACCCATGAGACTAACAGTGGAGGATATGGAGCCCCGGCGTGGCAGCAGGCAGATGGACTATGGATGCAGTCGGATGCGCAGCAGGCAAGCCAGGACTACATTCCTCCACCTCCACCTGTTCGGACTGAGGAGAAGAAACCGGAGGGTGGGAAAGCCAACTTTGACTGGGGGGCGAACAACCCAGAGGTCCTCGTGAAGGAGGAAATGAAGGATGATTTGAGGGCTATCAATGTGACCCTGCCGAAACTCCCGGATGAAAGCGCACCTCAGGCGGCACTTCGATGTGGGGATTGGATCACAGAGATTGAGCCGTTGATAGGAGATGTGTCTGGTGGAGCAGCTCGCTGGTGGATACAGCTCATGGTTGAGGTGAATGCAGTCTACAAGGTGTGGCTGTCATCAGATGCACTGACTCGGCTGGAAGTGGATGCGCAGGTGAAGAGACTTGAAGGACGGGTGACAAGCGTGCTGCTGGCAGCATTGCCGACCTCGATCAAGTCGGACGTCATCGCGAACAGGAAGTTGACAGCGGCATCCATCATGCTGGAGGTCATGAAGCGGTTCCAACCAGGAGGTCTTGGCGAGAAATCAGGGCTCCTGCGAGCATTGACAGCTCCGGAGACGGCAACATCCCCAGCAGATGGAGTAGAAAAGCTGCGCTTGTGGTCACGAAATGTGGCAAGGGCGGTGGAGTTGGGAGTCACTTTGCCGGACCCAGTGTTGCAGATTGGAGCGCTGGATTCAATATGTCGGCAGATTCTGAACAAGGAGCCGCAGATCAACTTCAGAGTGCAATCCTGGAGGCACTCGAACAACTTGGACACTACAACACAACAGAGCGTGGTGACAAGATTCGCTCAACTGCTGCAGGCGGAGCTAACTACGGCCGCATTGGCAGGTGATCGCAAAGACACACCGGAGGTAAAGGTGGAGCAACTCCAGCAAAACTCTGACAAACCTGTGACCAAGGTGGCGCGCAGAAACTGGTGCACTTCTACAGGGTGTGCACGCGGAGCATCGTGCAGGTTTGCACATGACTGGACGGGGGTTCAGGACAAGAATGATCGCTGTTGGATTTGCTCGTCGTTGGGCCATCGAAAACATGAGTGTCCTGCAGGAGACAAGACCAAGTCACCTGAAAAAGCCGAGAACAAGGGCAAGGACATCAAGGAGGGCAAGGACTACACCAACAGTAAGGGAAAGGGCAAGGCAACCGGTAAGGGTAAGCCTCAGCTCAACAAGACGACCTCGTCGGCTGCAACTACGGCTTCCAGCACTACACCAGCTAGTGATGCTGCTGGTGGGGGGAGTGGGAACTCACAAGCCGTTGAAAATGCGGAGACATCGACGATGGCAACAAGGTCAGCTTCGGCGGCGAGTGAGAAGCCTCCTGCAGTAGGTGATGGAGGAAAGTAGGCTTCGCCAAGTGAGTTGATTGGTGAGGTAACATCACTTCTGAGGTCGTTGAGGGCACCACAGCCGGCGATCAGGGCGATCATCGCAAAGGTCACCTATGAGGGGTGTGGAGTGCTGCTGGATTCAGGAGCTACGCACATCCTACGTGCACCAGTGTCTCAGGAAGAATGGCAGAGAGCAGGGGAGACAGTTGCGCAAACGGCAACTGGTGAGTGCATCCTGCGCCAGACTGAGAGTGGGGTCCTTTTGACCAATGACAGCGACGTGGCGCCGATAATACCACTTGGAGAACTAGTGGCACAGGGCGGGGTCATCGACTGGCGACCTGGCCAATGTCGACTGCATCAACATCCTCCAGAACCAGGACCTGTTGAACGACTCCAGGCATATTTGATGGATGTGGCAAGGTCGGGAAAAGTGAAGACATTCCTGGCAGGGCCACCGTGCAGATCAGTCTCTGTACTTCGGCTTCGAGATGACGGTGGACCTCGACAAGTACGGGACCGCGAAGGCCCTGAAAGGTGGGGAAAAAGAGATTTGAAGCCGCATGAGCGGGCCTTGGTGGACACAGACAGCCAATTGCTGCTGAGGACGCTGGTGTTGGCAGAGTTGTGTGAGTCAGCGAATCCGGGGGAGACTGAGTTCATGGTGGAGACGCCAGAGGATCCAGCAACCTATCGCGAAGGGGAAAATATCCCGACGTTCACAGTGTGGCCAGAGGTGGTGCAGGTGCTGGAGAAGGACTTGAAGTTGAGGAGGATCTCAGTGGACCAAGGAGCGCTGGACCACGCAAGAAAGAAGCCAACGTGCCTATGGTCATCCATACCTGAGGTGGTTCAATTGGATGGGCTGAGGGACAGCAGATCGTCGACTACGTGGCCGACGCATCTGGATCAAGCACTACTGGAGTCAAAGAGTCTGGCTGCATGGGCTGGGGGCTTGAAGCAGGCAGTGGTGGACTCCTGGCAGAGAGCAAGGGCTGGAGACCAACCCAGAGTGAAAACCGTTCGGGGGGACACCAATTGGGCATGGTATCAGCACATCTTGAATGGGCATGTGCCACATCGAAGAGACTGTCGAGAGTGCCTTCGTGGTGCTGGGAGAGATCGCCCACGGCTCCGGCAGCAGTTTCCAAGTCCATTTACGATGGCAGTGGACGTGGCTGGGCCTTTTGCACCGGGGTGTGATCAAGACATGGGCCAACCACGGTATTTCCTGGTGGCTACAGTGACAGTACCTGTCCGTCATGATATATCAGCCGCTGATCTGGGGTTGGAAGCCAGATGATTCGGTGGAGGACGTTGAGGAAGGTGCTGAACATGTACTACAAGACCGGCAAGAGATTCTGCCGGAAGGCCAGGGCCCAAATCCATTTAAGGGAGATGGAGAAGAGGCAGTGGTATGTGAGGAGGAGGTGAAACTAGCATCATTCGAGCGGCAGATCGCTGAACTCAAGGATGTGGGAGTGAAGCACCTCACGTTGGCAGCACCTCTGCTGAATCGAAAGGAGGCAACGGTGATCGCTGCAACGTCAAAGTTGTTTGCAAGGTACCGTGCACTTCAAGTCCCGGTGTTCCGCATCAAGACAGACAGGGCCAAGGAGTTCGTGTCGAAGCGGTTCCGGGAGTGGACTACGGCCAGAGATCTGGAGCACTGCTTCACTGCAGGTGATGAGCCAACTGGAAACTCGAGGGCGGAGATTGAGGTTGGCGTGTTGAAGAATGCTGCCAGGGCGCTCTTACAGTCTGCTGGACTACCTGTTCGTGACTGGCCGACAGCACTAAGGCACGCAGCAGAGGAGAGGCATCGAGGACAGCTGAGAGCATTTGGGCTGAACCTACCAAGGCTGATCCCCTATGGCTGCAAGGCCATGGTTCGGACAAAGACCTGGCATCGCCACTGGGATGAATGGAAGCATCCCATGATCGAGGCAACTGTCATGGGTCCAGCAGAGGGCATGGCTTCATCGGCAGGTGCTTACTGGGCGACGACGGTTGACGGGCACGGGTTCCGAACCACGGTTGCTGTGAGGCCGCGTCGGGCAGCGACCATTGAGGGGGGAGTTCAGGCCGTTAAAGATGGCAACCTTGAGGAGGG